CTGATTATATGATCCCAGGGATATCGTGGGGAATGTTTGAATCATAAAATCATAGAGGCGATCAGTTTATTCTTTTCTCTTAGTCAAGTGGCTGTTTATTATTGACTATGCTTTTTAGTAAGGAGGTCGTAAATGGTACTGGGTGTTTTATTCATGACCTAAATTAATTATTATGTTTTCGGGTTACTCGCGTAATGATTGACGATTAGACGCCAATATTCATGAGCAGCATTCCGCGACATGCGACGCGGCGACTGTCGCGTTGCTTCTGGCTACTGGCTGGCGCTGGCAGGCGCATGAATATGGGCCTCTAGCGTGGCTTGAAACTAGTCGAGTATCTCAAATAATTAATTTAGAATGTCTCACGAAATTTATAATGATCTAAATCATTTTAATTAATGATTTGCTCTCAATTCCTGATTATATTATTGCTCGCCTAGCAAAAATGTGCAAAATAAGTACATATTATAACAATGTATGTATATCTTCCCAACTCTTTATATAAACAACTTAGTACATATACGAACCTACCAATAAGGCCCCCATATTTATCCCCGATCCCCCCTCACCTGTTATCTTTACAACAGACACAATTTCACAGATTTATAAACGATCCACACGTACCAATGACTAGCCATATATCTGCCGATATGAAATCACATCTTTCCCTTATTATACCTCGTTCAGAGGTCAAATCGAACTCCGCAACGCTCCCATGACTTGCGATAAACGTAACATTTTTACAATGACGTGCAGTTTTTCTTTAGCAACGGTAAAATTTGTCGAAATTTTCCTGGAATTTCGCGGAAGTGAAATTAATTGAGGTGAGAAGTGTTTTTATGTATACCTCACTAGAGCAGTATTATTCCTAAGTCTCACAATGCTAAATATACAAAAACTGCATGTTTTTCTATATAAAATTCATCCATACAAGTAAAAAATGGGTAGTTATGTATATGTGAATAGGCTTAATAATCATTGACGTCAAACAATTAAATGTACCTATGTATAATTTCGTGCCTCAAAACAAAACACAGAAACAAAAAACTTTCACCTCCGAATTCAAATACAAAATAAATCCATAAAAATAAAACAGAATTTTGCCAAATTAATCTCAACGCACCTGCGCTGTCCACCCCTCGAAGGTAATCAAGTAATCACAAACATTGTATTCCCAATCGTTCTCAAACTTCCAACGCCCCCCGATGACATCATGTGACACGATGACGTCACAACATGTCCGACACGGCCGCCATTTAATATTTACTGTCATTCAAGCTGTCAAATTACCCCTTGCATGATATAGGGCATTTTGTTCGTAATTTAAAGGTAGAATGGCGTATAGGTGTGTTCTTGTCTCGTTTAGGGTCACATTTTACGCGTAGGGAAATATAATTTTTAAACTTAGCATTTTAGAAGCTTTCCTTAAGTATGCACATAACTGTTAGTAAGTTGTATTTTTAGAGATGTAAGGTCTAAAAAAAGAAACACGTACACAATTAAAATTTAAATATCATTATCATATTTTTTATGTCATAAGTTGGCAAACAATCCGTGTGCATTACTTACATGCAGTTCATCCGACATAAACATCAAAACAATTTAAGACCCAAAATAAAATTCAGCCCGAATGTGAAATTATTGAAAATATTGACTATAAAATTAAATGCCAAGATTGTATAATTCGATAATATTTATCGTTAGGTATGGTAATGTCATTATTAAATGATATGAAAATGTCATTCGGATTAATAATAATATTCACCAATAAATTCACTCGTCGAATAGTAACGCTTACTGATAAGAAATTGCTTAATCTCCTCCTTAAATCATTAATCTACTACTACTAATTAATCTTCTCCTTTTAAATATTTGAAAAAGCTTTTCCCGAGGAAAGCCTCTATTCTTTGTTCCATCCGTAGAACGTAAGATGCCCTTTTCCTCAAAAGCGTCTTCTCACACGGAGAAGGGTTGAGCGTTAATCACCTCGCTTGTTCAAAGCGGATTGACGATTTCAATAAGTCCATGTTTCCCCACGATATTATCCTTCACTGTATGTCGGCGATATCGATATAATCTTAGAAAATGCATGTAACCCGGAAAAAGTCACATTAGTACTTGCTAGATTTCGAACCCTTCTCAGAGCCAACAGGACTAAAATTTATATATGCTAACCCGTATGTAATATCGTTACTTAATCAAGTCAATTGATGGAATCGAATAGCAATGATCCAAGAAATTGCTCAGCCAAACCAATAACTTTAGTGTAAAATCCATAAGGAACAGAAGATAACTTCAATTCATCTCAAATTCCGTTTTTAATATCAAAAAGAATTCCTCTATTCCAATATCCAAAATTAATGTTTCAATTTGAGAACCACAGACCTCATACATTTGAATTTAAAAATAGAATTCCCGCGCTATCTAAAATCGTTTCCCGCCACAAATTAAACAGAACGTGCTAATTTATTCGCAAAATTAAAATGTATTTATCACGCCGATTTGAAATGGATCATGGATGTCGATTTTTTGTTTGATTTTCGAATCCAAATTTTTTTGTTATGATAGCTAATGAATTCGTTCATTATAATAATTTAATTTGTGATCATTATTGATGTATACTTTCAGATATTCTTTTGTAATTTATAATTTAAGCTGATGATTAATTCAGGTTTTCTATGACACAACTTGTTACCTATGTGATCCTGTTTTTGATTAAGCTTTCCTACATTACATTAATCGAATAATACTTGACTTCATTACGTACCAAATTAGAATGATCACGCATTAGAATAATGTAAATTACAATGACACCAATTTATAATAAAAAAAGAAAAAAAAAACATCTTCATTGTTCTCTCTATAATTATTATATCCCGTTATTTTTTATAAATTAGAAAAGTTTGTGCAATAAATTACTGAGTACAAAAAAAGTAAAATAAAATCACATGTTTTTAAATAACATATGGATTAAAACAGTCTTGTCACAAGCCTAAATCAAACACGATATAGTTTTCAAAAAAAAAAACAGATGTTTTAACGTAGATAATACGAGAATAACAATAATCGTAACGTATCATTGCTCGAAATTACTACGTTTCGTTACAGTTGGCTTAATCCGAACGTTTTATGCACGGACTAGACAATGAATGGAGTCTACTACATATCTGCACCATCTGAATAACATATTTATATTAATCCTCCATTCCATAATGTCCCACGATCTTTTTGTTCATTTGACACATAAAAGAAAATAACAAAAAAATTGTTTGATTTCTTTACTTGACCCAAAGGTTGACTGGTAGAGAACGCCTTAAGGCATTAAGTCTTTTGTATACCAACTTCGTGCCATTTTGTCAAGGTCAAAGTCAAAATGATTTTTTCCAACTAAAATAGGTAAGTACTTTTGAAACTTCAAAATATAATAATAGTCTGTCAGTCTGTTCGTCAATGAAGCTAGGTGCTCATTCCAAATTGTAGATTCGAATGGAGAAGAACGAGCATTCTATGAAACGAATTAGAATGAAACGGAAAACTCACGAAACAGACATCTCTCATTTTGTACTTCATAGTTTCTATTCATTTATTCTAAAGCAGTACGAAGTTAGAGACAGCTATTTCAAATACAAAGCGTGTAGACAAGTGACTGGCGACAATTTTGTATTGTCTAGTGTATACGAGTACACGTGGGCACTCCATTTGTATACTACTCCGTGGCATCATACAACATGTCGTAAAAGCAATTGAGTCGTATTGGCAACATTCCGAATACGAGACCAAAGTGATAATTTGTTGTTTGTTCCATTCCATATAAATTACATTTTACAAATGTTTCTGAGCTTAATACTGCACTGTACATACGTGTTTCTAGTTTGAATGTTACTTTTATACTGAATGATAATGGCTGACGTTTGTGTTTTTTTGCGCTTTTTTCTGTTTTTGTATAGAACGAAAACGGAAAAAAGTTTACAACATTTACAATTACTTTATATTTTTTTCAATCATCATTAGTCTTTTTCCATCCACTGCTAGATATAGGCCTCCCACTAGTCTAGACTGTCATTAATAATAATAATTAAACATTTATTACTTAGATACTTTGAGTTGAGTTTGCTGTGGCAAGCACCAGAATGAGCTTTGGGAAGGATTGGACAGTTATTTGATCATTATCCTTACCGTAGATACGCTTGCGGGGTAAGCGCGATGATTGCGGGGAAAGCGCAATCAGGCACGGTGACCTCGGCCCAGAGCAGGAGAAGGAACAGGGGGTTTTTATTCAGTAAGAGTCTGACACTCCCTCCCGCCCGGCCCTTGGCAGGAGAAGTAATTTGATGATTTTCCCCTCACAAAAAAAATCCGTCGATACGCAAATCAATATTAAAAACAACATTCAGTTTTGACTGCCTAGCCTGGCTTGGCAGGGGTGCGGGTTAAGCGCAATGAGTCACCCCGGCCTCGGTCTTGGCCTCGGGGGGTTTTTGTCAGTAAGAGGCTGACACTCTCTCTCGCGGGCGGGAGAAGAATACGTAGACGAGATACGCCAACTCTTTGTGTGATGTACAAATGTTTATAATCAAAATGTATTATTTTTAAAACAATCCTAGAATGGGGTAGCGTTAAAAACAAATTAAAAAAAATTACTTAATACTTACTCCTAGAAAAATGCACGTAAAATATTCTACTAACCACATACGATTGAGAGCTACCCTCAACATGGGAGGCAATCAATCGAATTGATTGATAGTTCTCAATCAATCACAATTGAGCTGATCCAGCATCCAGCTTCAGCCATTTTATAGAGACCTGTGTGAAAAACTTTCTGTCAATTATACTCGAGAGACAACGTAGAGGATAGTGAAAATACACGGAATTCCTGTAAGATGAAATTGACTAATTTTAGACAAAATTTAATAATAGATATTGTCTATTTTTTATGTAAGGTTTGCCATTAAGGGTATTTAGTAACTAATTTATAAGATTAAAACAAAATTTTGATTCAGAAAATTCCAGAGAGCATAGTAAACAGACTGAAGACAGAGAGGCAGAGAGAGAGAGAGAGAGAGAGAGAGAGAGAGAGAGAGAGAGAGAGAGAGAGAGAGAGAGAGAGAGAGAGAGAGAGAGAGAGAGAGAGAGAGAGAGAGAGAGAGAGAGAGAGAGAGAGAGAGAGAGAGAGAGAGAGAGAGAGAGAGAGAGAGGAAAGCAGAATGAAAAATAAATACGTCATGGACTATAATTCCTACTATTTAGATTATTATGATAATGAACACAATTTACCAATATGACCAAAATGGTCGTGGTGGGTCGGAGGTTACGGAGCTCGCTTCACATGCATGAGGGTTTGAAACCTGGGAAGTACCACTGTGACTTTTTCTGAGTTACATGTACTTTCTGTGAACTTCGTGTGAACACACCACTGACATACGGTGAAGGTAAACATCGTCATCTTGAAACGTATAAAATTAAAACTTTGCCATATAAAAGTCATGGTCGACAAATAGCATTCTCAAAGCAACTTATAGCTGATATTTCCACAGTATATTTAAACTCGGGGCGATGCAGCGTGACTCGAGTGCATAGTATATGTTTTTATAAAAGGAGGCGATGCGGCGACTCTTGAAATCCCATCCGTGCCCCGTCTTGAAGCACAATAAACGTGCAGCTTATGGTTGTTGCTGTTTTAAGTTATTAGAGGTAGCGATTCGCAGTGATTTGATATACCCTATCCCACCTAGACATAGGGTTAATAATTGATAAATAATAAGCCATATAGTGCCGTCATAGTACATTACATATTTAGGGAATAGAGAGTAATTGGCTAAAATCGGAAAAGGAGGATCCTCCGACCAGGGGAGGTGCTCAGTCTGGCCAACAGTTGTACGTTGGAATTTCCTATCGCATTCTGTTTGCGCGTGATGTAGACATCCTTTGAACATTGTGGTTTTTGTGCGTCGCCACATATACATACATGTGTCAACAACCATCCCAATTTCCCACGAGGGCATTATGAGACCCAACTAAGGGAGTACATGCGTGTATCTGTATGTCAGACAACAGCGCTCTCGGATAAACCTAAACCTTTATATGCTACGATACCCTACGCAGTATTTAATTCATCAAACTCCAAGCGAACGCCGGCGTACGCGTACCAATTGTTCTTCTATTGCTTACCACTTACCACGCTTGAAAGGTTATAATGGCAAACGTTCTCATAGTTCATCCATCTGTCACAGACAGTTTATATAAATTAAATATTCTCCATCGCTCACGCTTATAACTTGCGCCGCGTGGATTTGAACAGTAGCCGCTAATGTCACGGGGCATCGCGCGCTGGGATCCAGACAACTTCGTGTATTGTGCGAACTAGTTTCCAGTTTATTTTAAGGGTTATGACAGTTTCAAAGCACCTATAGTAAATGAACAATAAAATGACTCGCGGTAAGGTTTTTAAAAAACCAAAAATTCTAATGGTAGTTCACGAAATGATTCCTTGATTTTACAGAAGTAACGTTATGTCAATAACATTAGCATATTTTTGGAACTAGGTAGTTGTTTTCCATTGCCAGATGGAGAACCCAAAATTGTATTGCAATTCACAATGAAAATCAATCAAAGAAAGTATGAAATTATACAAAAACCACACTTAAAATAAAATCTTTTATATTCCTTTCAGTTAAATGTATTTTCAAAGTCGCTAACGCTTGCGCTTGTAACTTACGCCCGCTAATGTCACAGCGGGACGCTCGCAGGGATCTGACAACTACGTGTATTGTGCGAACTTAGTTTCCAGTTTATTTTAAGGGTTATGTCACTTTAAAAAGTACCGTAAATGACACTCGAAATGTCGTTTAAAAACCTTAACTGGCTTTGAGATTTTCTTCGATGTTCTAGATGTTTATAAACACATTTCATTTGAATGGTGTTTTTGTAACTGTGTCCTTAATACTAGGATGTCTTGTGTTCGAATTTGGAACTCTGAACAATCCTACTATCCTAGTAATATTATAAATTGAAAAGTTGAGAGTGTATGGGTGTATGTTTGTTATCCTTTTACGCAAAAACGGCTGGACCGATATGGTTGGAATTTGGCACGTAGATAGATTATATTCTGGATTAACAGATGGCAGCTTTTATCAACATACAACGCGGGCGAGGCCGCGGACAGAAGCTAGTAATTTATGCCAACACTAATCCATGCGGCAATCGAGCCAACAATACATTGTACTACAGTTCAGTACCACAATCGTGATTTTAAATAACATAGTGTTATATTCTTTTCAACAAGCTTTGTTCAACAAACAAGTTACTCACAACGTTTGTCACAGTCTACAACGAACGACTCACATATGACACACCCACGTGTCCCGTCTAAAAATAAAATAATTAAATGCTGGCATCACATTAAATCCTGTTATAACAAGAACTAATCCCCACCCGTGTACAACACTACATCACATCGCCAAGTCTTCCATTTAAAAAGACATTAATATCACTTGTCACACTCACGCGTATTTAAAATCTATGTCCACGAAAGAGATAGAGCGAGTCATTTGTTTGGTTGGAACGACAAATGGTGTTGTGGTTTTTTCTAAGCGTTTGCGGTATTGGAAATTTAAATATACGATTGCATCGATAAATTTATGCGCATTTTTAAAGTATTTTGTATTGTTAACATGCATTTTGTAAAGGTCAAAACACAAAATGTAATACTGTTGAGTGAATATTCCGAAACGGGGGCTGAAGGTGCTTTTCTGGAATAGCTTGGCAAACGACCCTACGGATTACCTGATGGTAAGCAATCGGCGTAGCCCGTGGAGGACAGGAGCAGGAGTTATGAGTGCGTGACGGCCTTTTGAGGATGAAGGTATCGGGACGGGGAGAGATTCTGCCTTTGGTATTACCTAAGGGTTTTGAAATACCTACTTATAGATATTTGCTTAGCTTAGCTTTAAATTTCACCACATTACTACTTAACTGAGATAAAAAATTAATAAGCATAAAAGATACATTTTGCGAGTGAAGCTCAATGTTATACCGACAGGAACGGGGTGGTTTGTGACAAATAGAAGTCGCGCCGAAGAGGCCAAAGGATGATTTCCCTAGATCTGGACGTTAAAAAGAGAAAAAATAATTGAAAAGAAAGATACTTATAAGGCTAAGAACTCACGGAGCGATTTTGAACCGTGCCCGCCGCGGTAGCGGAACTGCGGTTTTATTTCCAAACTCACGAGACCGGTTATTTGCGCGGTTACACAGCCGCCGCGGTTGCGATCATCGCCCGCAAACGTGGCGGGCGATGATCGCAAGATTGCAAGACGGGCGACTAATGATCAGTTGAGGTCCAGACCGCCATAGACACACACCAGAAACGAGTCGTTACGTTATATTTACGTCACAGAAGACCCGCCGGCCCCCGCGGTCGCTCGCCAAACGATCGCAAAGCGCGCGGGTGCCACCCGCCGAGGCTGCGGGTAACCGCGGCCCGCGCGATTCTACTAGTTGCCCGCCGGTACAGCGGGAGCCGCATACAACCGCGTACACCGCGGGCGTAAAACGCGTCGTGAAATGTGCTTTAATTTTCTATATACATATTTGAATTCTACAGAAGCTGCGGGCCCGCAACCGCAGCGGACGCGGGCGAAAATCGCTCCGTGAGTTCTTAGCCTAAATGTGCCGCTCTGGGTAAACAGGGGCAGAAAGAATAAATCTTCATTTATTTCTTAAAAGGGTTCCAAAATGTTCCACGTTATTCTTTATATCCAAAATAGTTAGTTTATCATTCGCCGATAAAAGTGAGAGTGTTCAATATTGTATCTATCGAGTGCGTATCGCGCGCGCTGGGACGAGAATAGTTCACAATTAAACCGACAGCTATTTTTGACAACGACGAGAAACAGTCCGTAGGTATGGGTGGTTCAAGTTATGAGCGGGTAGCGACAAAAATTTAAAGGAATCGAAAGGTTTTTTTACCTTCTAATGACAATCTTTAAAAACAGACCTGGGAGCTATGAAATGCTTAGATACTGGCAAACGAACTGACGGATAGCCTGATGGTATTCACAAGGCGGAACACAACTTAAGTGTTGTTTCAGTCGGTAACTTTACAACCGTATGCTTTTGGCCCTTATAGAAAATCAGGTCCAATCGAATTTTGTCGCAATAAGAAAAAAAATTAATGCATGTGCACCGTCGATCTGAAAGTAAATGCAGGTCGGGTCGATCTAGAAGTCAAACGAAAAGGGTTGTGTTCGTCTCAGTCTAAAGAAAATATTAAAGGGTCGTACCCGCTCCCCTCTCAACACTTGTACCACAACTGAAGCGATTGCGTGCATCAGATTCTCGAGACAAACGGCGAGTATCGGATGCCAACAATCAATCAATGTTAAAACGAACTCGTTTCCTGGTGTCAATCACGTGCGTTACCATTCTTTAATCTGGATCTCGGGATACGATTGTTCCCCAAAGGGGTAAGCAAAGGTAGAATAGGAAGTTAATTCCAAATAGTTCTATTGGCATGGCAAATAGTTTGGTTAAAGTTTTTCCTGATAGAATTTAACAGTGGAGAAGACCATAGTAACTCGGATTGTCAGTAGAAGGTTAATGAATGACTTCAAAACTTGTAACGTACTTTGTAGGTGCGAAATAAGAAAATTTTGATTCCTGTTTCTATAAATCTGTATTCCTTACAGTTACTTTAATAGACCTTAGCGTACGGTGCGTAGCGTTCCGCGCGCGCCTCGAAGAGCCAATAGACCACCACAGACGGGGCCCTATAGGGCTGATGATCAGCCGGGGTTGCGGGGCAAGCGTAATCAGGCATCGCGACCTCGGCCCAGAGCAGCAGAAGGAACGGGGTGTTTTTAGTCAGTAAGAGTCTGATACTCCATCACTCAGAGAAGATATTGCATAATTTTACCCTCACAAAAAATAACAAAAGACAGTTACTTTAATCGCTCGCTGTTTCCGCCTCACTTATTATTAACGTTTTTCGTGCGGGAATCGAATTCACAATTCATTGCAATATGCACGGCAACCGGCTATTCGGTCACCGCGTCAACTGTTCAGTCAAAGTTTTAGTTGGAATTGTACTAGTATTAAAAAATTTTCAAGTATGGATAGAAGGATAGATGTTTCTTAATCATTTTTGTAAAAACTACTGAATAAATATTGATGAGAAATGCCACAGAAACAGATTATAGTCTGTATTAACATTTTTTA